GGTTAATCCCCACAACATAATCCTATCAAAGGTAAGTCACATAATCAAAATCCTATAAAAGGGTAACCCCCACAACATACATCCTATCACAGGTTAGTCACATAATTAACATCCTATAAAGGGTTAATCCCCACAACATAATCCTATCAAAGGTAAGTCACATAATTAACATCCTATAAAAGGTTAATCCCAACAACATAATCCTATCACAGGTACGTCACAAAATTAACATCCTACAAAGGGTAATCCCCACAACATACATCCTACTTATTTCTTTCATAGTTAAGAAATAATCAGTATCTGTACATGTATTATTGTGGAATACGTAATGTTTAATATTGGCAACGGTTAAAGTCATAATCGATAATCGATCATTTTAATTGGAAGTAGTAAATCAATTGGTAATCAACTCCATTATTAGTTTGTAATTGTATAGGACTGGATACCGAAATAAAGTCACAACACTACTGTTACATCAGTATACAGAGTTGTTAGCTATACATAAAGGTTCGTTCTTCTATAATGAATGGATTTTGACGCAACTTTATACAGTTTTGTCTATGATAGAAAAAACATTAGAATAAAATGTCTTTCAATAAATACTTGACATTGTTTACATTTGACACCTTGATTTCAATAATGAACTGATTATCATTGAATATGGAATTTGTAATCAGAAATCGGAATCAAAAACTGCAAACCGGTCAATTTTTTATCATTAAAGATCATTGGCCCATCATTACTAAATAGGTCACATTGTGTAGAGAAAAATTATTTATGTAAGTGCATATATCATCGCCAAATAAATCATTATTATTACTTAATGAAAAAAATTATTTCCTCGCTGATATAGTAGCTATAGAATTAAACTTACTCATCAAAGGTGAAGTTTTATGATAGAATATATGAAAGCGAGAAATTATTGTAGTATTGACGGTTGATATTACCATATCATATGGTACAAAATGCAATTTTGCTAAACTAATAGGGTAACATGTTCTAGATAATCCGAACATTCTACTAACTTTGACTCTTTCCTTGTGTTAGTGTTGCGCATGCAGGGTTATTAGGACAAGTGCATGTTGTCCAATAATCCATGGTTGTCTAACAATGAAAAACATTGCTGATGTGGAAGAATAAATACCATATTCGATCAAACACAAAAAGGGTGCTCTTAATAAATCCCTTTCATGCTCAATCTGACATTTTCTATATATATTCAAATCCACCACCCAAACATTTGTGCAATCGTTCAAAGGAACAAATCAACTAACTTTACAGAGACAATGGGCATCATCAGAAAATGATGCTAGACCACTGGTTCAATCTGAATAAATACAGCTGTTCATTATTACGTACCGCATGAACCGTNAAGTAAGAACAAACGGCTGGGGTGCCTTTAAAGGGGAAGTGCATTTATTAAGTTGAATATGGTAATAAACATTTGAAGCACTAGAGCAAAGATAGAACAAACTAATTTCTGTATTTTTATCTGTTGTTTTGCTATAGGATGTTGAAGAACAGTAGAATCTCAATATAATTAATACTCAATGTTCATTTTCCTATCTGGTTTACTGCCAACGTATTTAAAGGTCCCGTATCCTCTTCACAATTTCTTTGTACATTTCCCCCTATTTATGAACAAACAACGTTTTAATATCATAATTTCTCATGACAAATGGTAGAATAATAATACAGTTTGCTGTACATTTGTTTATGGTGATTAAGTTTAAATCAACCAGGTAAGACTATATTATAGGTCACTGACACATTTGTGCTTCCCATACCTACAACCCATAGGCACCGAGACAATGGTCAGCTTTAAGAAAGGGAAGAATGTGGGCAGAGACTACCCAACGTCGCTATCAACTACAGCAACATGTCATGTGTAACGGCCAACAGAGCAAATTGTATGATAAGATGGTCACCGGTTACTGGTGGAAACATCGACACTACCCGGATGATCCTTACGCTCCCTATCACAAACGTACAAATATCCTGAATTTTGGCAAGAGTGCTGTACCCTCATTCCTGCATTAACTTAACTGTATATCATCATAGCTTTAGTAAGTGCTGTACATGTTAACACTAGGTATGTGATTGGGTTAAAATTGTTTTAAGGTACTTTCCGTTTTTCGTCTACATCAAACATGAGAGTAATTACTTGAAATTGACATTGTCTGTACTTTGTAATACCGTCATATATGTTATAAGGTTTGTTTAGATGATGTAGTTATTATGTCGTCACTTCATTGCTTATTGAATGGAAATAAGGAAACACAGATTGACCAATCGTAATGGAATAATGCTCAGATTAATTCACTTATAAATAGATAATGGGAAAACATATTGGACATGCTTATAAACTAATGTCAAAGTGGGGCTATATTTCATTTTAACTGCAGACTAGATAAAATAATCGAAAGCATATTAAAACAGATTTCCAGGAGAGGCAAGAAAGCAAAAAAAAGTATATATGTTTTAGCTTTATGAATTGATGTTTATTACGAAAATTGAGCGTCTTGAGTAAAATTAATCAACTTTTTCAATTTAGGAATGTTTTGAAACAAATGGAAGGATATGTCCATTGTTGATACCCAATGGTCCTCTGATGTACACATCCAGGAGTCTGAAGGATATTTCCATTGTTGATACCCAATGGTCCGCTGATGTACACATCCAGGAGTCTGAAGGATATTTCCATTGTTGATACCCAATGGTTCTCTGATGTACACATCCAGGAGTCTGAACATGTTTATATTATGTTGTTACAATGTTATGAATTATGGTATTTTGACCATATCAATGTATACTTATATATATCATATACTGTAAATACATGTAATCTGTGTCTACTTATTTCGGTCATGTACTGTTAATACATGTGCACGAATACTATACCACACACTAACAGTTTCTGTATAGACACAGTTTATTTTCATTTACATTGTGCTTACTGTATGTCTGTTATTGGTTTTCGAACCATCAATTTGTTCTAACTTACACATTAATTATGTGGTTTGTGTGGGAGTTATCTCCCTTGAGGATGTACCCTTTATCAGCTACCATTAGAGTGTAGATTTGTTTTGCTAGAGTTATCTCCCTTACAGTTGCTTAGTGAACATTATCCATAATGTATAGTGCCTTATTTTAAAACCCGAATTTAGTCTGATGTACCTTACAAATTTGTCCTAATTTACACATGTAAATTCTCGTAGATATTTGACAGGTATCTGTTTTATAATTTGGAAATCTACTGGAATGTTCATGTCTGTGACAGTAGCATACAATCTTAAATCAAACGTATAATTTGAAAATATTTTTCCATTTTCAAAATGCTTATCCATACACAGGCATTACCCTTATCTGTGATACAATGACGGCCATAAGTATTTCATGTTATGTTGTATTCCCATGAGATCCCAGGTTAATTTACGTCTCTTTAAATCACAGGCAAACAAATAACGTGCCTTCATTACACCCAATTTTGATCGAACTCTACATCCCGTTAGAAAATTAATTAGTCCTTCGACTGGTTACCTATTGTTACTTATGGCTTTCTTATTGAAATATCAGTTTTCATCCCATCATACAGATTATACTTTCACGTCATTTATATTGACACATTAAAAATTTGCCATAATAAATTGCTTTGACCGAATAACCTATTACGATAAGAATTCTATGAAACAAATAACTATATATATATTACACATACTAAAAGAGCAGTCGTGTGCTGAAATTCATCTTTTGCAGCTAAAATTGAAACCAGGATTTGGTTTGAATAGTTATTTACAATTGAATTAAATGGAAAATGATTTACCATAAAATAAATTTGGAGTGTCACTCTGTATATGTTTAGCACGTCGGTGATATAATTCAGTCTCCTGCTGTTTACAGACCACACAAATACTACACGTGGATGACAGTAGTGGTAAAGACAACATAGTAAACGATATCATCAAGTTCAAACTATCTGATAGATTTCCTCATCTTTATCTAATGGTCGCAGAAAACTGACTCAAAGTAGACTTTGAGAAAACAAATTGTCGTCAGAAGAATTGAATAGCTAAAGATCTGTGTACCACTGTCTAAAACTAAAATTAAGCACTGAAAGTAAAAAAACATAATCTGCAAATATGCCAGACCAGGTTTCGAACCCTGAACCTCCGATCTAAGGGTACGGTGGTCCAGTCGCTGTACAGTTGTATCTTAAATACAATTTAACTGTATGACAATACTACAATTGCAACAACATTGGGAATTTCCGGCAATCTCCGGAAGATTAAAATTTCAAAGTCTACATATTTCTCTAGGTTTTTTTTCTGTAGCGGAACAGGGACCCCTAAAATCAACTATGTTGCATGTATTCTGTTGAACTCCAGCATAGAGAAATCAAACGTATTTTTATGACGGGATAGAAATGTACACATGTCAACATATCTACATATCTTAACTGGAGAAATTAAGACTGCCGGCCAAGCTGTTGTCTGTGAAGACATTCCTACGAGACATCTCAAACAAACACCTTTAGTATACCACCAACTAGTCTGGTGCAGTAAAGACCTTTAGACCATCAACTAGGCTGGGGCAGTAAGGACCTTTAGTAGACCACCGACTAGTCTGGTTCAGAAAGGACCTCTAGTAGACCACCAACTAGTCTGGTGCAGTACAGACATGCAACCTAGTCAAGTTCACATTAGAATTTGATAAATGTACACTATACTTCATTTAAGTAATACAGTTTACATCTTCTTTCGGAGTTACTTGTATTCAGCTGAACTTTTATCAAAATATCATTAGCAGTTTAAAAGTAAGGACCTAGACACAATTTCATTAGAACAACAGTATGTCCTCAATCATTTACATTTCCTTTATATCCAAGAAGCACAAATGACCACAACAGACAAAAGCATTTGTAAAAGAAATATTTTTATATTTTCCTTATTCAATACAACAATAACAAATCAATGATTAATATACACATGAAATTGACATGTAGCTGGTATTTATGATTGGAGTGATGTTCAATTATTGAGCCGGAAGTGACGTCTGTACTGTGGCGGAAGAAGGACGCTGTCGATGATGTGGATAACTCCGTTGGTAACGGCGTCATCAGGACGGATAACCATAGCGTTATCTACCTTTACCATACCTATTTAAAAAGAAAGCAAGCAATGATATCAGAAATACCTTTCCCCTGTCTAGGACGTAATATTAGTTATAAAGATATTCAAAGAAACAAAATTAGTAAACGGTAGCGGTTTTTTTTCTCTTCTGAAAAATGTAATTAACGGCAACATTTTTGCCCAAATTGAGGATATATACTTAATTAAATTTTGTGTGCTGAAAACAAACAAAGTTGATAATTGCTATTACACCTGAGAACAAGCTACCGACCATTATCCAGGGAGATGGAGATGTCCTTGCCCTCCAGAGTGGCGACCTTCTCTCCGTCAGTCAGACCTGCGCTGAAGGCTGTTCCCTTGACAACATGGTACGTCAGTACCTCTGTATATATAAGAAACACGTGTAGGGTTTAAGTGTTTAAGTGCTCTAACAATCATAAATGACTAATTATACATAAAAAGTTGCAGACCTGTAAATATCTTGTTGACTATGGGGATCAATATAGATATCGGTCATTATACTATCTTAGTTAAATAGACCTTCCTTTATTTTATCATAAGCGCTGCAAATACCAGGAGGATGTGTGAAAATGACCCAAAGAAACCTTCTCCCTTACCGGTCAAAGCGGTCTTGTTCTTCAGTAGGTTGTCCAGTGTGCCGGCTGGAAGCTTGGCGAAGGCTCTGTCTGTCGGAGCAAAGAGGGTCAGACCGTCGGCTATAGACAGAAAAAAGCAAACAAAATTTAGTTACCATGGTAAACAAAAGATTTGCCAGCTTGGATATATTTCCTCAACGTTTACTATTCAACTGTATCAATTCAGTAAGGTCCTCACATTTGGGTCATCATTTACTCGATAAGAAAAGAAAATAATTTTGACAATCATTTCTCTCTCATTCCGGATTCAGCGTCAAATGTCATATATTTTGATAACAGTGGTTTCGTACCAAGGACAGTTTCCGTGGTTGCCCTATTTCTGGGCACTGCAGACTTATTGCCGAGAGCGCATTCAGACCCACCCCTTTCATGAGTACTAAAGACTTACCACCGAGAGCGCCACCTATACCGGCGGCAGTAACGGCAGCGAGAAGGGTTTTGAGCTGACGATCGGCCTTCACCATGTCCACCATAGACTCGATCGGGATGGGAAACATTACACGGTCTACTACGTGGATCACACCGTTTGTGGCGTTTTGGTCAACCTTCACAATTGGCGAGCCATCGGCAGTCACCACCTGTGGCACCGAAAGATACAGTTTAATAATAATTTTATCTTCACTTATATAAAGTCTCAAAAAGAATTCACACATATTTTGTAACTTTACTGTTGTCAGCATTATTGCGTTAGAATATACACTTTATTCCCGTAAAGTAACCCTTGATAATACCAAAAAATGATTTCTTAATTGCGTACCTTGCCGCCCTGGTAAATGTTGATCCTAATCTTGGCTGGAGGCAACAAAGAGGCAGCCTGGAGTTCGTTGGACAGCTGAGAGGAGTACACCTTTCCACTGACCACGTGATATTTTAGGACATCCTGTAGCGCTGTCTTGTTCTTCTTTAGGTAATTAATAATGACGCGTGGCAACTTGGTGAAAGCATCATCGGGGGGACCGAAGATAGTGAAGGGACCTGGAGAGAAACACCACAGAATACCGTGTAGGGAAACATCATAGAAGAATAAAATATATCACAGCTTCAACAAACAATGACAAATCATAGCACAACAGCAACAAAGACAATGTATTCCATAGTGACATCGTACAAGGAAAAAATAAACCACAGCGTCAATACATGGGGACAAATACATCGACAGCACATAATGACAAAATATACAAATCGATCACATTGTCAACGTAAAGTGTCAAAATATATCACAGCTTCACCACATAATAGCACAACATAAAATTATATCACAATGTCAAAACAGCTTCAACAAAACATAACACAATATACCAAAACGTCTATACACAAGGACACAACTATCACAACGTCACCACACCAGGACAAAACTACCACAGCGTCACCACACGCGGTCAAAACTACCACAGCGTCACCACACACGGACGAAACTACCACAGCGTCACCACACAAGGACGAAACTACCACAGCGTCACCACACACGGACAAACTACAACAGCGTCACCACACACGGACAAAACTACCACAGCGTCACCACACAAGGACAAAACTATCACAGCATCACCACACACGGACAAAACTACCACAGCGTCACCACACAAGGACAAAACTACCACAGCGTCAACACACACGGACAAAATAGTCCACAGAATCAAGACACAAAGATAAAACAAAACAGTCAACATACGAAAACAAAATGTACCATATTCTCACCATACCAGGGCAAAATACGCAACAGTGTAAACACACAAGGGCAAAATATACCACAGCGTCAGCACTTAACACACTAAGGCAAACTATACTACAACGTCGACACAATGATAAAGTCGTCCGCAGCATAAACATACAAGGACAACATATATCACAGCGTCAATATACAATGTTAAACTATTCTACAGCGTCAACACAAAGTACAGATATAATAGCGTCAACACATAAGAGCAAAATTCACCACAGCGTCAATACAAACTAGTTGATTATAAAAGATTCTACAGCGACAACAAACAAAGACAAATATACCACTGTCATCACACTAGAACACAATACACATCATTAATTTGCGAGAAAAACATTTCAAACCAACTCACAAAGACAAAATACACCCGTCAATAAACAAAGTAAAATATATTACAGCTCAATCATAAAAGGACAAAATACATATAGTTATATACACTACAACGTCAGTAGAAAAGTACAAATTTGGACCTCAAAAAGACACTGAAAACAACAACGATGGACCTCAAAAAGACCCTAAAAAAAACAACGATTGAAAAGACACTATTAGCATATTCAAACTCCTCCAAAACAGTAAAACACATTTGTTTGTATGTACGGGACCTGACAACTTCAATATACATCACATAAATGTATGTCTGTTCAAATAATGCAATATTGCTACGAAAATCAGGTTTATATATGTATAAACGTAAACGTAACCTGAAATGTTTTCATAAATCAGGCTTATATATGTATAAATGTAAACGTAACCTGAACTGTTGTCATAAATCAGGTTTATATATGTATAAATGTAAACGTAACCTAAACTGTTGTCATAAATCAGGCAATGAAAGGATGTTACAAAGAAAACGTTCCACGTTCTGGATTAGGAACATGTCAAGAACGAGCTCTTCATTTTAAGCAATTGTCACAGTATAAATTTAAATGCATGTTTATAATATGAAAAGGTTACATTAGATTAATATAATAAAGCCTATCAATATACAATGTACCTCCGGTCGAAAGGGTTTCGGCAAGACCAGCCTCCTTGACAAGGGCTACCAGAGTCTTGGCGCCAAGCTTTTCCGCAAGCTCCACCAAATTACCCTGCTGGCAATACCCTAGAGACACGAAACAGAGGAGGGAGATGACTGCAAGTACCTTCATGATGACGCAGTGTAGCTACCGGTAACTCAGAACCATCAGGTCTTATATAGGTTTGGTTGTGTGACCAGTTCATATAACGTTAGATAAAATCACGTCCTGAGTTATCAGGCACGTGGGAAGGGTCTCACGAGTAATTTATTTACTCAGTACAAGAAGACGGACAAGGTCATTTCGGACAATCTTAAGCTACACTTATTGGTCACGTGTACTAACGACGTGAGTCAAGGCTTATATAGTCATGATGAAGAATGTTGCGTGCGATGAGGATTAGCAGTTTGTTTATCATCCTACGAACTACCTATAAATACATGTATATCTTGCCGTATAATTATCAATGTAGTGAAACAAGTTAAAAAATAGAAAAATGTTTAATTTTAGTTTTCAGCAGAATTTCCTGAGCAATGTTTTGACGACCTAGTATCTTGACCAGTCTCTGGCCGCGAGTTTTATCTGACCATGCTGTTTGACCTTCGTATAAATGTAAACACGTTTATCGGGAGAATTTATGATATCGTTAAATATCCTCAGTGGATTTTACCAATTTTCAAAAGTTCAGTTATACATAACATGTGAATATAACTGAAACAAGTTAGAACTTGGACATATACATGTATGCTTTGGGAATCAATATGATATAATTTGGTATAAGATGAAATATGATTTAAAATCGAAATGTTAATTTGTTTTAGTCTCAAAGGTTTGCTTTTCTATGAGATAAAGCAAAAGGAACTTCATAAAACATATCCGGAACTGCGCGTGGGTTGACCATATATTCAAATTTGAAGTGGACAAGATAAACAAGATAAGAATTTGTGTCTACATTGACCATGTGCTGATGTGTGTAACTGCTCACGAGACACCAGCCGTGGTCACGAGATGGAGGTCACCAACACGTGACTACCCAAATTTAGGAGTTCACGAGAACATTATGGAAAGTCCAATGTGTCTGTGTGGCTCTGCATTTGCAAATACAAATATTTTCTGTTAATGTAAGTCGAAATTATCAAATACAACGTTGAACTGTGTTAAATAATTTTCATCTACAACGCGTCAATAGCAGTATCGACATTCAGCCGAGACTAAGAACAACAGCCGTATTACACTAGCGTGTTATCTGGTTTAATTATTCCCCTGGCTTGGAGGCAGCAGGTACAATTTATTAAAAAGGGGAAACAAAACTAGATAGTTAGATCAAATTTCTCACCACATGCTATTGTATATCTGTTATTAAAACAAAACACAAGAAAAACTCTTTTGCTATCAATTTCAGAAAAGCGTTTGATATTTTTCGGCGTCTTTTTTGTATGGAAAATGGGCTGAACAAGTTTTAATGTTAAAAACTAAATATGTATCAAGACATAGAGGTTTGATTTCCTAACAGTGGTGAATAGTTCCCACGTGTGATAATTGGCGTGACAAAAGGAGCAAATGTATCATCGTTTCTTTCTCTCATTCTTTCTCTATCTACCATACATATCATGTTTCATAAGGAACTTAACATATTTAACGCAATCTATTTATATTTCTTTTTACGGAACGACACAATTCTATCAGAAGAGTCAGCAACAGAATGACAGGAAGAACTAGATACGTTAGGTCATATGAGCCGAAGTGACCTATTGCCATCACTCTTTATATATATACCTAAACCTACATTAGGTGACTCTATGTCATCAATTAGTACCTTTACACTCATTGTCATATCAGGTATGTTGATCAGAACTTAATAATTGTTCATGATATTATATATAGTGCAGGAAACAAAAAAAACCTAATCCAATAGAAATAGATATATTGGATCAATTGTTGTTGGACATATAACATTATGTAATTATAATTATAGATATATGTGAGATAAATCATATCATTAAGGTAATTCCAGACGACATTGATTTAAAATATATTGTCTACGTATAATTTTGATGTACGTGTTTTTGGCGGTATTGTGGTGTGTTTTCTTTTAGCATTTTGGAGCTGGCAGTATTATTCGCCGTTTTAACAGGAATGGTTTTATTTTTCAACCAAAGTTTAACAATTGTTTTTCTAATTTTTGAAGCATAATGTTTACGCATTTTTTCTGCAATATTTCAATATTTTTCGGCATTTTAAAAGCTGAGTCGTAACTAAATGAGAAGCTAAAAGATCTGTAGAATATGAAAAAATGGCAATGTAAGGACGGTAAACCTACATTTATATGATTGCAATAAGAAAGTTCCGGAGAGGGGGTGCATCTGTTGTCACTCCGTTAAATCCGTGTAGTGATCGTATAGGTTTTGGTAATTATTACGAGTCAACAACTTCCCCTGCAGTCCTCTCTAGACCTCGCCTCTTCGTCAGGTTACAGACCTGTTTTCACTACAGGTTCGCACACTGCATGTAGTGGTCACACAAGCAATCGATTCAATAACTCAACAAGGTATCTCAGAATGCAGATAACTGTTTATTAACAAGACGAAATGAATATTCATAACATAAGCGCCGATCAATGACAACAAGGAGAGGTACTGCTAAGTAGCTCAATCCCTATGCATAGTAATGGCCTATCCTACCTAACAGTACTACCAGTAGACCACTGCCATGTCTCAAAAGTGTAAACACACATATTTCAGTACCGATATAGCAGCAGCACATCGTAAGAGACATACACTGAACGAAAAGTCCTACCCCTAATTATGGTGAATAAAACTAAAAATAGCAAATCCCTGTCTGTAAATCGTATATAACAATTATACTGAAACGAGTAATTAAAACGTGAGAAGGAAACAACAGAACTTCCCACATAAATCTATAATTGCAACTAGGCCTTAGATCCCTCATTTATTGCTTGATTGATGTGTTACCCATACAGATGCTAAAGTTAACAATTCAGACGAGTTGGTGGGTCCAACTAAATATTCCGTAACTTCAGTTTGAATCCACTCATCGGATTCGGATACATTATAATTAACTTCTCTCAATACACGAGAAACATATACTATATGCGAACTACATCAGTATGTTAGTAAAAGTAGCTAAACGAAAGACATAATTATGCAACATTATTCATCGCCAGATTTGCAAGTATATCATAATGGGACGACATTGTTCCGCATCATCGACTTGATTGCTGGACATGGTTATTTACTGATTTCGACTCAGACTGTTCGAACTATACTATATTTTACCAACTTTTAATGTCTAGTAACTTCAACAGGGTATGTTTATCGTATTTGATCCGAATGGAAGTAAATAAATATATTATTTGATCCGAATGGAAGTAAATAAATATATTATTTGATCCGAATGGAAGTAAATAAATATATTATTTGATCCGAATGGAAGTAAATAAATATATTATTTGATCCGAATGGAAGTAAATAAATATATTATTTGATCCGAATGGAAGTAAATAAATATATTATTTGATCCGAATGGAAGTAAATAAATATATTATTTGATCCGAATGGAAGTAAATAAATATATTATTTGATCCGAATGGAAGTAAATAAATATATTATTTGATCCGAATGGAAGTAAATAAATATATTATTTGATCCGAATGGAAGTAAATAAATATATTATTTGATCCGAATGGAAGTAAATAAATATATTATTTGATCCGAATGAAAGTAAATAAATATATTATTCATTCATTGCAGAATTGTTTTCATACGCAGTACACAATTACAAAATACAGACAAAACATGGTTGAATACATGTACATTAATACTACAAAACAGAATATATACGATATGTTTGCTACAGACATTTTCCCACTAATATATATATATATGTTATCATTCAGGCATGAGCAATCTCACTTCAAAGTTTGGTCGACTGGCGGTGAATTCAAGACAGATGGTGTCAATAAACAGAGCTGTAACATACTGTGTAAACCGGCAACAGTTAAGTGTGTTGGCCAGTGTCCGAGCCACGGTTCCTCCTCCGACCATCAAACAAACCTCATTGTTACCTGACTCGCTATATAAATGCATATTAATCAATTTCGACTGTTTCCAAGACAATTCACCAAACGAACTATAGCTAATGTGTGCTACCGTAAAACTGTTGACTGGTCATCGTAAAACTGTTGACTGGTCACGTGAAACTGTTGACTGGTCACGTGCAACTGTTGACTGGTCACATGTCAGGTAATCGAACGCACCTATAATTACAAGCACCCCGATGATCAAGCGTTTTTGGTACTGGATTGTTCCCTCGGAGTTGGGACCCACCAAATGAACTGTTTCCCTCGGCCTGCGGCCTCGGGAAACAGTTCATCTGGAGGGTCCTCGGGAAAGTAGTTTTGACTGTTGACTGATAAGGCATGAAACAACTGTATACTACCAACGTCTTATCACGGGTAAGTCACAAACAGTGTAAACCGACAACAGTTTAGTGTGTTGGCCAGTGTCCGAGCCACAGTACCTCCTCCGACCATGAAATAAACCTCACTACAAACATTTTATATACGTAACCGACACAACATAATCCTATCATAGGTAAGTCACATAATTAACATCCTATGAAGCGTAACCCCCACAACATACATCCTATCACAGGTAAGTCACATAATTGACATCCTATAAAGCGTAACAGACACAACATAATCCTATCACAGGTAAGTCACATAATTATCATCCTATCAAGGGTAACCTCCACAACATAATCCTATCAGAGGTAAGTCAAATAATTAACATCCTATCAGGTGTAACCTCCACAACATAATCCTATCAGAGGGAAGTCAAATAATTAACATCCTATCAGGGGTAACCTCCACAACATACACCCTATCACAGGTAAGTCACATAATTAACATCCTATAAAGCGTAACCCCCGAAACATACACCATATCACAGGTAAGTCAAATAATTAACATCCTATCAGGGGTAACCTCCACAACATACATCCAATCACAGGTAAGTCACATAATTAACATCCTATAAAGCGTAACCGACACAACATAATCCTATCACAGGTAAGTCACATAATTAGCATCCTATCAAGGGTAACCTCCACAACATAATCCTATCAGAGGTAAGTCAAATA